ATTCACTTTCATTTCCTTCAATAAATGACTTTGTGATTCGCCTGTCTTGTAGCCTTTTTCCTCGCGTCTCGACCCTGCGGGTTATTGCGAGTTCGAGCCATTGCGGTCCAGTGCCATCGCTTTTCTAATTCGTGTTCCGTGATTCCTATTGCGTAGTTCGTGTCCTGAACTCTGTGCGTAACTTCAATACTACTACCTCCATTACCATTACAATATTTTCAAACAGTTACCGTTTTGCTATTCAAATTACTTCAGTAGCATGCTCTAAACATTGTGGATTTTTACACCAATATTTGTGTAGGGATTCTCGCCGTTTAAGTACTACTAGTTAACTCTCAAAGATGAAAACAACCAGTACATTAGGTAACATTCTAATAGTTGTAGTACACACTGATCACGAAATACAAAACACGTATTAAAAATCACGGACGCCATGTAGGCACTGAATTACACTAGGACTGTTCTGAGATACTACTCACTTGTGAGTAATCGGTAACTTTCGGTGAGTAAAAATAGAACAAGACCATATCAAGGACCAAGTAATATATTTGGGAAGAATAAACACTGCCTGCTCTACCCATTACTCTATGTGTCGCAATGTGTTGCGATGGCATGTTTCTGATAAACTTTTCGTCTTATGCATGCAAAATTAGTGACCTTGAACCTGTATTCTGCAATAAACAACTCTCCTCGACCATCAACGCCTTTTCGAAATAAAACAGTACTAGTGTAACGAAAAGGCGAGTCGGTTGGCAAAACGGTTATTAATTCAATTCAAAAACAACCGGTATATATATGCGTTCTTAACCGCGCAGCAGGATGATTTATGCCTCATTCTTTTGGTCAATCCTTGTTGGTTTTGGTCCGCACTTGGCACGTACATTGACTCTTCTTATGCGTGCCGTTCCGACTATTGTGACCTGATCGTAGTGCGAGATACGTTGATCGACAGCTCCAACGTTGTGGCATTCGGTGGATATCTCTCTGGCCAAATGCGGATTGTCTCTCGGGCTGTAATTGTCGATTGATTCATTTCGAGTGGTAGTCGACATTGTCTCGCAAAATAGTTCCAGCCGCTACGTCTGCGCATCTGGTTGGATGCGCATGGGGTGATCCAGGCCTACGTGATGACGCCTAACCTGGAGCGGCGTGTTACACTTTCTGGACATTTGCGATCAATCAAATTTGAAAAATGACGTCAATGACACTCGCATGGATTCTGACCACACATCGTTGATGGATCGTGCCAGCCAATCCGAGACAGTGCAGACAGAAGCAGAATTATGCAAGCAATATTGCAATCTGATTGGTGGAAGCCCAGATGACCAATAATCTTCTTTTGTACATATTATTTAACCGCCTTCATTTCTTCCAATAAACTAACTACGTACTACTATTCCTGTGACCTTTTTCTCGCATCTCGTTCACCTGGAATATTGCGAGCTCGTGCCATTGCGGTCCAGTGCTTCCGTAATTCAATCCGTGAAAACTAATTCTTGATTCGTGTCCTGTAATTTCGATTGCATGTTTTGCATTTCGAATTCGGTGCGTACTACTACTGCTGCTACTACTACTACTACTACTGCAATGAATGCAGGGCCCTATTCTTGATTCTTTCGCTAGTCGGGGCTCTCTTTGTACGACCTTCCTTGACACTAGCACAACAGTACCCCACGCAACCGAGACGCGACGAAAAGGTCACAGGAATAGCAGCTCGTTTGTTGAAAAAAATTAGGGGGATTAAATAATATGTACATAACAAGTTCATTGATCATTCAAGCCTCTGTCAGTCGCCTGCTAATATTTCTTTCGTTGTTCAGCTTCCATCTGGGCCACTCGATTTCTGATTGGTTGGTAGAATCGACCTATGATTTGTAGTCCACAGGCGATGACACGTACGAGTTTTGCTGACCTCACCCTTGAATGGTCACAGTTATCCGAAATCTGTAACGTGTCGCTCTGTGGTATGCGTCATTTCGTAGGCTAGGTTCATCACAAGCGTTTACAAATATTGAAACATCTTTACGCATTCACCCTGAGGCTTCATTCCTGTTTCCCAGATGTCCACCGCTTCAGGAAAGATTAAACTTGGTAACCTTTAGTCCGTATGTCCAAAAGGTTTACGGAAATAAGTAAAAGAAATAAGTTGAGTGTCAATTTCCACTCAAATTTTGTAAGCAGACTTCGCTAGATTCAAAGATGCAGGACTTCAAATCTAGTTTGAAATTTTATAATTAATCCCGTGAGGTCTGTATTTTCCTAGAACGTAATACTGTACCGTATATCCTGCCTTTCAGAAAAGAACTATGAACTCACCATTTAGGAGTTCGTTTGAGGAGTCAATAACTTGACGAAATGGACGCGCCATTGATACGAGTTCCACACTGTCCTATACAAACTGAAATGAACTGACGTTATTTAGGTATTGTGCAACCCGGGAAAGAAAATACACAGCATTTGATATTAGTGGTTTATGATGGGATTTGTATGATAAGGTTACTGAGAAATAGATACCGAACATGGAAATGTATTTATGTAAACCTGTATGAAGTAGAACCATTTTGACTTCCATAACTACTTTTGGTGCGCTTTTGTTGTGACTTGCCGGATCGTAATTTTTGTAAGGTCTATAGTAACTTGTCCATCATTTTACGAAGAGTAACGTAACTATTGATCGATCCACAAGTGATTATTTCCTCACTTGTAACGGGTTTTATAATCAACGATGAAAAGAGGTTAATTTCAATTAAAAATCGGAAAAGGGTCATTTCTGGTCAGGTGGTATCGGCTTGGGATTGCATATTTTAATCCCATTACAGCTGATCATTCCTCTACTGCATTAGCTCGCCTAAACTATTGGATTAGTCATTTAACTTTTTATTAGAAGTATCTGGATAAATAAATTTCAAGCATGGAATCAATTATATATGTATGTATATCTTATGGATATATAGCCACGAGCAACACTTTCACTTCATTTCACAAAACAAACGGTAATTAAAAAGCTCCTACTGCTCCAGAAGTGGTCGAATATTAGCATTTACCTCGGGAATCCTCCCCTTGGAGTTTTCTAATCCCCACTACCCTGGGAGACGGTGTTCTAGTGGCGCTATCCAATATCAAATTTTTCCGATCATGTGTTCGAATCTCTCTACTCCCCCTCCCTAAATTTCTCAATTATTCACGTCGTATAACAACCATTTGATTGACTATCTGCTCCTGCCTAAATTGATTGGATAACTTTCATTTAAACATAAGGAAGATTACAGCCGGTTGATTAGCATTACGTCAATGAGAACGATATCAGAAACGATATTCAGAAGTTTTATTTAGACTCAGGACATTGATGCGCACTCTTAACTTGTCAGTCAAATTCTCGTGAGCATAGTTTCACTCAAAGGCTTCTGGGATCCTAAGCAAAGGTAGATTGTGGTAGGTACATTTGGAAGCGAAAAGAGCAGAATACTTTTCCGCCGTAATTGCAAATTTGTTTGCAGAATTTACAGATATTTACGAATAATATAAACAAAAACTTATATGGAACACCTAAAACAATCTTCTGTTCTTCTATGGAGTCTAGCGATTGCTTTGATTGTTACTAGAAAACAATTCCCATAGGAAGTCTTTCCGTTTCAGTTTTTACAAAATTCGTCTGATTGCATTTCTTGAACTGAGTTACAACAACTGGTTTCCGACTCAAATAAGCAAAAGAAACCTGCTAAAAGCTCACGCTGACGGCGCACCATTTGAAGCTTGTGGTAAGCCAAACAAAGAAACGGATGCGGAGTACTAGGGCTCGTGAGAAGCACGTGACACCGGGTTAAGGATCCACATGCTACACTCGGCATCCCTTGCGGGAACGCAGTCATGTGATCGATCCGCCCTAATTCAACTCCGCCAGCACAGCCCAGTCTAAGTCGGCCTAGCCTGACTGAAATGGGGGTTGGATCAATACTAGACCAGCTTATGGTCGCGGCATCCAGCCTGAAGCAGATCCAAGTTGAGGCCTCATTGGTCCGTTCAAAATTCCGTTTACCCCAGGGGTGACGAAGCCGAGCAAAGTTGACCGGTGCCCAACTGTCGCGATGAGTCTGGACCAGAGTCCACTAGAAGATGATTGCAAACTGGAAATACCGGAAGAGGATATGAATCAGCCAATTACCCTGGATAGTGGAATCTACGAGGCGAATAAGCAGATGACTGAAAATGGAAAAGAGTTGCCTGAGATTCGTTGCAGTTCAACAACTTTATACAATGGTGTGGAGTTCTCTGAGGAAAATTCCGCCACAGAGGTTTGTTGTTTCCGTTCTAAAAATATCCACGTTTACCGACCAGATGGTCTATCAACCGATGCTGTGTGTTGAACGAAAACAGTATTCTGAACGAGAGATAACTTATAACGTGAGCTACAAATTATCGTTTCTCAATGGATATTCACTGACATGTAGCTTCTTTTGCGAAAATTAGTCGATGAATATATGGATCGAACCGTCACGTATTCTCATCAGCCTAAAAATGTCCTAACCGTATTACAAAACATATTGGCTAGAAATTTCCCGGAGTTCGGCGATTCCTTCCATCGTGAAAGAGTCTGTGCCTATTTGAAGGCATGTCGTCGTAATGCGAAAAAGAAAAACGGTGAACCATTTGTGCGTATCAGCGCTCGATATCTTAGTGCCGGGATGGCCACTCGGTTAGCTGAACAGATTTATCGGAATGAGAAAAACCATATGGAATCCGTTGTCGGGGTGCGTTTAATATATTCCTGCAAATTTATTTCACATATTTTAAAATTATTTTTGATTGATCTTTGCTTTATTATAGTACAAGTTACATGCGAACAACTCACCCGAACAGGCATCAAATGAATCGATGCCTAACAGTCAGGACGAAACTATTCCCAGCTCCGTGCATACGGTACCCGAAGTCGACACACCCAAGACAACTGGTTCGGTTTGTCAGGAAAATTCCTCTCTTTTTCAACCTCCCACAATGATGGGATCGTCAAGTACTTTTCCAATCTTATTCCCATTACCAGTGAGTAGTCCACGTGTTTTGATTACCCTGAGATTTTGTGTTGTTTTAGGGCATGACAGAACGTCTATTTGCGAAATTTCTCGGACAAACTGCAGAATTTTTACTCATGGTTGCCGACAGAATTGAAGCCGGACAAAGTTTGTTTCCACCATCCATCAATTCAGCCTTGTTGTCTACATTTAAATGAGACTAGTCACTTAATAAAAAAGGTTCATAAATTTTCTAATTTTTGATTCTGTTTTCGAAAAGTAGTTTCTCCAAAACTATCCTTCTCGGGGCTGAATTTAAAACGCATAGGAGATCGGAATCATGTCATTATTATAATTACGTTTGTGACGCAAAATTTAGTAGTATAATTTACGTTCCTCTCATATCATAAAGGGATCTTTCTTTGGCGTCTTTCCGGGGACCCCGATGTGTTAACTCTCGATTTTTCCTTGAGCGCTGGAACTGAAGCTGCTCTACTGGATTGGATCCCGGTAGCCAGCAACATGTGCGCAAAAAAACTGTGAGGTTCATCTAAAGTCGGCAAGCAAGGATCAACCAAAAGTTTTTGTTCGCGGCTTCTGCATATTATCCCGCAGACTGTAACTCAAATGCTTCTACAATCGTCTGCATGAGCTTATCTTTAAAGTGCCTATGGTGAACATCATGGCCCTAACCGGAGGTCTGAACATTCTCATGGTGGTCCGATGCCAGAAATTTTGTCGTTCGGACAACGGAAATAGCACTATTAGCTTGTGTTTAGAAAACAGTCCGCTTCTCTTCAGCAGGAACTTTCATTTTACGAAGCGTCAGTTAGTCCTCTGGTGCACTTTCTCATCGACGCAAAAATAGACTCAGATTAATCACAGCAATCGTCTATGGATGGTGTGACTCAAGCCCTGAAACGTCATAAGGCACTCGGGGTGCATGGGACTCGCCAGACTTCGTCAGTAGTGCATGTATTTCGGGGTTTGAACTCGGACCCCCCAAGCAGAAGGTGTGTGACGGCGTTTTTGCTTTTGTTTCCTGTTCGGCTGACGAATGATCGACTATCTATGGTTTGTACGTGAAGGTATTGTTAGCTAAAAAGTGATACTATTTACCCCAAATAGCCATCAACAAGCAATGCCGAATAAAACCAAGTTATTCTTAAACAACAAAATTCGTTACTTAATATTTCGAAGGGTCGAGATTTGATTAAACAAATCTATTAGAGATACTTGCTTTCTGTTTTTAGAGATGATTCATAGTTACATAATGTAAATAAGGCGAAGAATTGTGTGTGAAATATTCCAGTGTCACCAATTCAGTTTACTCTTCATCGGCAAACAGCATTCACACGCGGATGGAATACGACAACTGGAAATGTGCAATATCGCAGGAGAATGGTCTAAAGGGCTAATTAAACAATTGACTGCAAAGCGAACTATTAATTGCACGTATTACGTGTGCGATAAAATCGCTCCCTGTTTTACAGTGTATATCACTGAAGCCATGGCAGCCAATCGGAAAGCACTGACATATTTTGACTGGAAAAAAGAGTAACTATCATTAGGTTTCGACCATTCATTGGTAAAACTACTGCACACACGTAAATCCGTCTTGGATCTGTAACTAATGATCTTTGATAGATAACCTTGGCTATTGCCGTTGTTATTGCACACGACGAACGAACTGAGTTGCTCACAGAGGGTCAAACTGGTATCAGTTTGTTTGTGTCCTAGTTAAGCTGCGTCAATTACCTGGGGTTGTTTGTTGATGCAAATCTTCACTGGCTCTCTCATATTCAACATATCGTCATTAATCTCCGACGAATTTGTTTTGATATCCGTAAGCTTCGTCAGTTTCTTATTCATCAAGCGATTATTTCCAAATTCGAGTACCAGTGTATTTTCTCCTTTTTACTTCATTGTTCACCTGTTATTTTTCCCTAAAGAAAGATTTTAAAACGTCTTCGACGTAGACTGATCATTATTAGCCGTGTGCTTCAATCTCACTGGAGGAGTTGATAACTAACCTATGCGAACGTCATTTGAATGCATGTGAAAAGTCTGCACATAAGATTCTTATCGATTCCACACATTCGCTACATGCAAATTTAACTTCCTGTTGTTCCCATCTGTCAACTAGATCCCAATACCGTTTTGTTCCCTCTCGAATAAACCTATATCGTAACTCTACAGTACCCTCATTAGCACTTATTCTTGTTAACAAAGAACAGGTTTTCGCAGACTTTGTTAATAGTTTTGGGATTTAAATCTCTTTTTTCGCTGATACTTTTTCTTTTATCCCTCTCTCCAATCTGTATGTTTTTAACTGAAATGCAGCGTCTACGCCTACAGAAGTTATTACAATACAATACAATACAATACAATGGAGCCGTCACAAGTGTCAGTGTGCTTTGCTTTTAAGAGGTGCGCTCAACGGTCCCTTTTCTACATAGAGATTAACAAGGTCTGGTTGCGGAATCAATAAGTTATAATAATAATAGTTATAATAAGTTATAATAATTTGCACTGAACAGTCAAATAAGAGGGGCGGCGATGATCAAATAGGCAAGATCATCAAAACAGCGAAGGTCTTGAATTCAAGCACCACGACCGCGGTCCATCTGCATTCCTGTATTTCCCCAAGTAGCATTTGCATGACCATGGCTCCCTTCTTGAAAGTTGAAGGTATATTTGAATACTCAGTAGACAAGAGAGGAAGTAAAACATCTATAATTATTTATTTATGTGACCCTCCCTCTCGTTAGCTGATCGCAATGGGGCAAGACGTTTCACATAACAACGGGTTGACATGATTGCGATAGACAAAACTACAGCCGGTTTGATATATAAAAGATAACTTGCCTAACAAGGAAGATCTAAATCTCTTGGTGCTAAAGATCATAATTGAACAATGCGTATAACGGGAATAGGGCAACTCGGGGATCAATTTGATTCTCTTGTGTGGAAAAATAATGTTAGATATAATCATCTATAGACATCGCGGACTGAATTCAATTTCGTCTGTTGGCCGAGATTGGCAATTGTTTTGCAAACGTTCCATCACCAGCCGAGGTGACAGCTTCAGTGCTTGTGTAGTGGTAGTGTTCTGTCAGTGGTGAAGAGCTTATATAAGCTCTTCACCACTGACTATTTTTGTTCTTTGTTCTCACTGTGTTCGGCCTGGTTCGCCGTTGAACTAGTGCGATGGGGGTGAAGGTGATAGTGTTGAGTTTGTTCTTCTGTCTTGACTGCGGTTTTGGTCTGTTCTCAGGTCACGGCGCGACCTGTTTTGCGTCACTTGCTCCTGGTGTCATAATATGTGTACACATGATCTAGCTCGAAGTGTCTGTTCATTGGGTGAACTGAAGAGTGCCAAGCATTGAGAACTCCTCTGGCATGTTTCGATCGGGCTTGGGCGGTAATTTTCATTGATTCGAACTCAAAACTGATGTCCTGCTTGACCTTCGTGGAAGGAAATCAGCGGTAAAAGGTCATCCCCCCTGCGAATTAATGTTCACGGATCCCTGTTACAAGTTTTCTTCCGGTTGGTTCGATATGGTGTTTTGGAGTTCTTTTTATAGATAGCATTACTCTTTCTGCGTAGCCAGGCGGTGGGTTTTTTGGGTGACTCATTTTGTTAACCTAAGAATAGTCCTAGTCCTAGTCCTTCTAGACAGTGAGAGCTTAAATAAATAAAAAATTAACATTTTACTTGATTGAGTGATAGGGTTAGGAACTTTGATGTCTCAGAAAGTTCCTTCAAAGGGACCAATAAAATCGATCGGTAAATCAGACGGCATTTACAATTTTACTAAATGGCTTATCACATTGAACATTTGCAACTCCAGAAAAGTAAAGGAAATATTAGGAATGGCGAGCAGTGCACAGACAAAAATGTATTTTTATATACGAGGGTAGGAACATGTGCGTGTGTACTGAGCAGCAGAGAGCAGTGGAGCCTATTTTGCTTTTATTGGGGCTACTCAGTTGTGCAAAATGGTGCTGCAGATAATCAGATGGGGAGTGGATACCCAAAGGCGACTAGGTGGGTGCATATTCATATCCGAACGTAATCACATTAAAACTCTGCTGTTACATGAAGAAGGCAACCAACGTCGTTTTTTGGCGTGAGGTGCGGAAGTGAAATCATCGAATAATCGTGCACGTTCGAACTAGTCTCTAACGTAGTGAGGTGTGATTGTTTTACAAATAGGATCTCAAATGTCACTCAAAGATCCGGATACCGTTCAGCACTTTGAATTCGGCATGCCTCAAGCTGAAATGAATTGGGTCTCAGCTTTGTAGATCTTGAGTAAATCTCTCATTTGGCTTGGTTCTGTTCCTTTAGTTTCAGGCATCGATATTTGGCTTCAGAAATCTATTCATATATTAGTAGTAGCGGTGATAGTAATATAAGTTATAGTAGCAGTATTAGTAGTGATAATAGTAGTATTAGTATTAGTAGTACTAGTATTAGTATTAGTAGTAGTAGTAGTAATAGTAACAATAGTAGAGGCTTCTGGATGAATAGTTTTACTTTTGTATTTTCCACCTTAATTTTACTTTTATCCAACAGTACCTAGAATTTTTTTATCTATTCCGGTCTAGTTAGTTATGCTGAATACCATAAAGTCCTTGCACGAGACACCGTTTCTCACTGGTCTTTCCAGAGGAGAGGAAATTTGCGATTGATCGATAGTAAGAAAACATGTCAGGAAGCAAGATTGTTTCGATGTTTCATCCACTGGCAGAATACAATACATTTTTAAATCTAACTAAACATGAAGATAGCAGTGGAGGGATAACACAAAACAGTAATAAAATTGTTGGATTCAAATGATGTGGGTATGAAGATATAGTGCGCGAAATAATAGACTGGTTAATTGTGTTTTGGTCACCCCTTTTGTCATATGTCACGAACTATAGTACTGGCCATTAGCTACAGAAATAAGATTTGTGTGGTGATCCTAGCCTACGAAATGACGCATATCACAGAGCGACACGTTACGGTTTTCGGATAACTGTGATCATTCCAGCTTCCCGGGTGACGTCAGCAAAAAGCGTACGTGTCACAGTTTCTGGACTAAAAACCATAGGCCGATTGTATCAACCAATCAGAAACCGTGCGGCCCAGACAGAAGCTGAACAACACCAGAAATACTAGCACGCGATTGACAGAGGCTTGGATGATCAATGAACTTGTTTGATGCAT